CAAGGAATAACAAGTGTAATATCCACTAAAGCAAAGTTAAGTATATAACACCAACATGGGATTTGCAGTTTCCATCCCAATATACTTTGAATGTTTTGTGCCCGATTCTATTTCTGACGCGCACCAATGGATCATTTGGTGGAACAACAATTGTCCTAGAGATCATCGTTCTCCTTGGCCACCCTCCCGACCCGCGACGGCCATTGCACCACCAGTTGTGGCCCTTAGCTGATTGATGGGATTTAGTCTGATGGTGGGTCCCAAACCACTTTCGTCTTACATTGTTTCTTGTGTGACGAGATGGGTCATCATCAAGATTCTTGCCTGAAGTTGGGAAATGCACATGTGTTACCCGTTGATGAGCAGGGATCGCCCGACTATGTGACCACCTGCATTTAATGCCAAAGACCGCATGACTGAAGAACAACTTACCGTGGACCTTTCATCATTGTAATTCGTCGGTCTTCTTTAGCACCCCGTACATCCTCGGAGGATACAATGCAATGTCATTATATTTTTTGAGTTGACTTGTATGGTTGGTGGCAAGGTGTGTTGATTCCTTATCGATTTGGGCTCTTGTGAAATTGTTGTGGCATTGGAACCTAGGGAAAATCTCAATCTCCCTAGCGAGCCACATCCCAATCGTATACACAAGCATTAATCTGCCATGGTGATTCCATTACGGTCGATTTGTTAGGATATAGTATAAAGCTCAACTTTTAGTTTCTGACAATACCGTTTGAATAAAGAATCATGTTTTAGTCAAGTGTATATTGGATGTTGCATTCTCTTAACCCCTAAGACAATATAAACATACATCTATATTTAGAACTTGCTTATTTGATTTATCATAGATGAGACTTATTCTTGTAGGTCGAGAAGCTACGTATTTTGGTATGTAACGACCGAGTATATGATGTGCTGTAAAGATTGTTTACGGTCTCTGTGTCATGGTCCGCCAGGTTGATGACGCCCCCAAAATGAGCTCAAGAAGGATTGTTATGTTAAGCTCTGCAGGCATTTTTGTTTTCGACGTAATAATAAAAGAACTGGGTGGTACTAGTCTCGGATGGAGAAGTTGATTAATTATATTGCCAATATTAAAATTAATCAACAAAAGTTGGATCTTAAATTTGAGGAGGTAATTCAAGCAATTAGTCGAGAAATGAATTAATTGTAATTCAAAGGTTAAATGGGGAGTTTAATAATTTTATAAGGGTGGCGTTTAAAATGATTCAATTGTATCTCCACTTGTGGGAGTTACTATCTCCACTTGTAGGAGTTTTTTTCGTTTTGTTCTAGTGTTGGTAGTTAGATTGGGCTTGTTTAGCCTTTTAGGCTACAGTCGTCTCGACTCGTACGCCTCTCAGTTTCAACCTTTGATTGTTCTTTTCGGTCATTTTGGCCGCTTGTGTTTTTCGTGATTTTATTAATAGAATCTCCCGTTTCGACAAAAAAAAAAAAATAATGATTCAACTGTGTACGGAGTAAGACAGACTCACAGTTCCTTAGATTCCACCAAACCATGATTCACACGTGCAATTCTTGATTCTTGAGACTAGATATGGCCACGGGTCGAACCGGCCCGCCGAACCGGCCCGGACCCGGCCCGGACCTAGCCCGGCCCGAACCGGACCCGGACCGGAAAAGCCGGTTTTCGAACCGGAACCGGACATGTAGAGGGCCGGTCCCGGGCCTCTTCGGTCAAAATAAAACCCGGCGCCGGGCCGGGTCCGGTCCGGGTTCCGGGTTTTTGATTCAACGTTTTTTTTAAAAAAATCGGCCCGGCCCGGCCCAGCTCGCTCATTTTTTAATTTCCAGCCGTT